CAACTCTCCATGTTGATAGTCAAAATCATTGGATCCTTGATTCTGGAGCCTCTGACCATATGACAGGTAATCCGAGCTTGTTCTGTTCATACACTCCATACTCTGAACCCTCTCAGGTCAAGATCACCGATGACAGTTTTTCCCAGATTGCAGGACACGATACCATTAAACTTTCTGAGCTGATTAATTTAACATCAGTTCTTTATGTTCGTTCTTTGGCTTGTAATCTCATTTCCATAAGCAAGCTGACTTCTAAGTTGCATTGTTTTGCTAAATTCTTTCCTCATGGTTGTGTTTTTCAGGAACAGGACTCGGAGAGGATGATTGGCAGTGCTAGAGACGATGGTGGACTTTACTACTTTGAGGAGGATGTGACTCATGAAGCTGTTTTTGTGGGAAAAGACTCTATGTTTCTTTTTGATTCATGTAATGATGTTATGTTGTGGCATCGTAGGCTAGGCCATCCAAATTTTAACTATCTTCAGAAGTTGTTACAAAACTTATTTATTAATAAAAGTCCTAGTTTATTTTCTTGTGATATTTGTCAACTTGCCAAGCATACTCGTGTTCATTATCCTTCTAACTAGTATATTACCCGTGCGATGCACGGGGGAAAAAGATCAAATTTTTTGTCGTCCGCCGTGGTTGGTTAATCGCACTGCAAACTTCACACTTACAAAAAACTGTGTTGCTTTTTTGTTCTATATTTCAGGTGAAAAAAATTACAGCATTAACACAAAACTTTGCAAATATCAACCACAAACAAAAATCTGCTATTCAGAGGGATAATTAATTTTGCATACAACTACATCATAATACGTTATAATACACCATGTTAACATGAGGAAGGGATATAAAAATAAAAATGCATACAAATCATTGCTAACTATAACATTCATCAACAAAATCAAGGTAACAATAACACCAAGCAAATATGAATTTAAAATATCAGCTTTTACCTATAATATGAAAACGCTATTCATTCAGTGTCATTTCCTAGCAATAATTGGAGGGATAAGTTCAACACTTACTAAATATGTCATTTCCTGTGTGATTTTCGTTCCTTGTGCCTACGATACAGAAGGCAAAAACTCATTAAATAAGTAACACTAATATGTTAACATCCAAAAGTCATAGTATCAGAAAAAAAAAAGATTGGATTAAATTTTTTCAAGGACCAAAAAAAATGTTGTCTGAACGGGATTTGAATGCAACTTATTCAAATAAGCATGTATGAGTCATATTTTTTTGCTTACATTGCAACAAATGCATATAAACAGAATTAAAGCAACTACACTAATCTTTGAGATAGACTTTCATTTATTGCAATCACATTTAAAAAATAATAATAAATAATTATTATTTGCAAGGATATGTATCGTTAGTATTTGGAATTTTACAAATTTGTATTTACAAAAATTAAAATCATATTTAGGAATTTAATTATAAAAGAAGAAGGATGAAATTTTAATTTAATTATAAAAATGTGTTGGTGGGCCGGCCCTCCTGGCCGAGTCCAGTTTGCCACCTCTAACTATCAGCATGTAAAAGGTTTTTATATTTATTCACAAAAAAAGATTTTTGTAGTTGCGTCTAGGTTTTTAATTTTATCTCAGAGAAGAACTTTCATTTACTACAATCAGATTTATAAAATAATAATAAATAATTATTTTTTGTGCAAGGATTAGTGTCGTTAGTCTTTCGAATTTCACAAATTTATATTTACAAAAATTGAAATCAGATTTAGTAATTTAATTATAAAGAAGAAGGATAAAATTTCAATTGAATTCTAAAAATATATTGGCGGGCCGGTTTTTCACCTCTAACTGTCAGCATTTTATATAAATAATTTTTCTTTGCAAGGATTAATGTCGTTAGTCTTTGGAATTTCACATATTTGTATTTACAAAAATTGAAATCAGATTTAGTAATTTAATTATAAAAGAAGAAAGATACAATTTCAATTGAATTATAAAAATATATTGGCAGGCCGGCCCGGAGCCCAGTTTTCGACCTCTAACTGTCAGCATTTTATATAAATAATTGTTTTTTGCAAGTATTTGTATTAATTACACTCTTGCAATAAAAAAAATGAAAGTTTAATTTCTTTCTTATGTACTAAATTAAAATTTTCATTTTTATAGTTCTTACATTTTAATAATTTTTTTTTACAGAATGACAGACATCATTTTTTATTTAAATTTAAAATTTAATTTTTTTATATTAATTATACTTTTTTTATATAATTTTTTCAATTTTAATTTATGATTTTTATATATATTTTTAATTGGTTATACATGTATATTTAAAATGTTTATGTTAAATATTTTTTTTAAAATACATGTATATTCTTTTAATTGGTTATACATATATATTTAAAATTCAAATTATATATTAAATTCAAATTTATTATATATATCATTTCTCATTTCATAAATATTAAATGCTGAACTATTTTCTCTCAAATCAAGTTCACATAATTTTTCATTTAATTTATTTCCAAATTTCGAATTTATTTTACAATATAAATAATTTTGTTATTTTACAATATTTTTTTTAATGTTTTTGTTTTTTTATGCAGCATTAATAGGGTTAACAATTATCCATGCAAAAAATAGTGGGATATACAACAAAAGAAAAGTAGTGGGACATTAAATGAGTTGTCTGCCACAAAAAATTTTCTAAAAGTTTTTCCATCATTACAAAGTGTAAATTTCAAATTCAAATTTCAAATTTAAACATAAATTAAAAATTTAGAAGAGTTGAGTTATTATTAATTTGAAAATTTAAATGTAGGATGAAGTGGGACATTGAATAAGTTGTCTGCCTCCAAAAATTGTTCACATAATTTTTATTTAATTTATTTCCAAATCTCGAATTTATTTTACTATATAAATAATTTTGTTATTTTACAATAATTTTTTTAATGTTTTTGTTTTTTTTATGCAACATTAATAGGGCTAACAATTACCCATGAAAAAAATAGTGGGATATACAACAAAAGAAAAATAGAGGTCTTTTTTACTCATAATATACAACAACAAAAAAGTAGTGGGACATTAAATGAGTTGTCTGCCACCAATTTTTTTTCAAAAGTTTTCCCACCATTACAAAGTTAAAAATTCAAATTCAAAATTCAAATTTAAACATAAATTCGAAATTTAGAAGAGTTGAGTTATTATTAATTTGGAAATTCCATTGTAGAATGTAGTGGGACATTGAATGAGTTGTCAGCCACCAAAAATTGTTAACATAATTTTCCATTTAATTTATTTCCAAGTTTTGAATTTATTTTACAATATAATAATTTTGTTATTTTACAATATTTTTTGAATGTTTTTGTTTTTTTAATGCAGCATTTATAGAGCTAAAATTATCCAAGCAAAAAATAGTGGGATATACAACAAAAGAAAAATAAAGGTCTTTTTTACTCATAATATACAACAAAAGAAAAATAGTGGGACATTAAATGAGTTGTCTGCCACAAATTTTTTTCCAAAAGTTTTCCCACCATTACAAAGTTAAAAATTCAAATTTAAACATAAATTCGAAATTTAAAAGAGTTGAGTTATTATTAATTTGGAAATTCCAATGTAGAATGCAGTGGGACATTGAATGAGTTGTCTGCCACAAAAAAATGTTCACATAATTTTTAATTTAATTTATTTCCAAATTTCAAATTTATTTGACAATATAAATAATTTTTTTATTTTACAATATTTTTTTTTAATTTTTTTGTTTTTTTATGCAACATTAATAGTGCTAACAATCACCCATGAAAAAATAGTGGGATATTCAACAACAAAAAAGTAGAGGTGTTTTTTACTCATAATATACAACAAAAGAAAAATAGTGGGACATTAAATGAGTTGTCTGCCACAAAATATTTTCCAAGAGTTTTCTCACCATTACAAAGTTAAAAATTCAAAATCAAATTCAAAATATAAATTTAAACATAAATTCGAAATTTAAAAGAGTTGAGTTATTATTAATTTGGAAATTCCAATGTAAAATGCAGTGGAACATTGAATGAGTTGTTTGCCACCAAAAATTTCCAAAAGTTTTTCCACCATTACAAAGTTAAAATTTCAAATTCAAAATTCAAATTTAAACATAACATCGTAAAATTTTGATATGCATTTTTTATTGTTTGCTATTAAAAAATATATATATTTTGGTACAAAGTTTTGCAATGCAGCTGTTGTATTGTAACCGAAAACAAATTTTATCAATGTATGGCTTAACTTCTTCATCACCGATTTCTTTCTTCAAAAAAGAAATTTTATAATATACACTTTAATTAATGTGAAATTCGTTAATGTATTTTTTACACTTTCATTTACAATCCTTAGTACTACTATAGCCCTTAAAAATTAGTATTTCTCTGTTTATTTGTTATTAAAAAATGCAGTGTTATAAGAAGCTAAACAAAATGTCACATAAACAAAAAGACACTGCAATATCGAATTATAAAATACAACAAATTTCTGGAAAAACATGTTTCTGAAACACAAAATATGCTGCTTCGGTCAGAATTGCTCCCTTCACTGCGAGTTTGTATACGCTTCTGCATCAAACCTATTTAAAAAGATGGAACAAAATAAAAAAATTAGTAATTTGAACCTGCGTCAACAAATGAAATGGTTTTGACATCATTTGTAGGAAAAAAATAAAAAATACCCCAACAAAGATGACAACAACGGACTTATTTTTTTTCTTATGAATCAAAATAGAAATATAAATTAGAAACTACATAACTCTTTTTCAAGTTTTATTTTTTTCGCTGTTCGGACAACTGACCAATTAAATTCCTCAACATTAGTATCATGAGAAAGGACAACACGGGCGAGCACAATGGAAGAAAAGTTTTCCTCATTCTACATGCAATATTATTTTTTTCATTCTCTTTTCTAAGGGATGACAACACAAGTGCCCATGTGCTCAAGTGCCCACAGGCCACAGCACTAACCATTGTGCAGTCAAATAACACTGATGACATATTAGATCTTAATCCACTTACCGCCACGCTCATGGAAGACTTGAGAAAAACACACATCACCAGCTCTACGCATGTGATCCTAATCATTTAAAACTCAGAATCAGCAAATATTGCTTATTAATTTTCAACCAATACAATGACTTCAACATAAAATGTCATTAATCCTCTGCATGCAAAAAATGTGGCATATGTAAAACTATTTGTGTCTCATGTGTAACGTGTGTCAATCGGTTTAATTAAATAATAAAAGAGGCTTTATGGTAATTGACGTTTCGCATTAATGGTAATTGACGTTTTGACGTTTTGCATTATGGTAACGTTTTACATTAATGGTAATTGACGTTTTGACGTTTCGCATTAATGGGAAGTTACAGGGAGTTATTTGAAACTCCGTAACTGGTGACATGGTTCAGTTATATAAAGAGAAAAATGGTGAGTCTCTGATTATGATAATCTCTCAGAATTCTCTCCTTCATGGTCTGCCCATAAAAGTTGTATCAGATCCCTGTCATAGACGATACAAGGAAAGCAGAGGGTAAAGACTCTGAGAAACAATCTTCCATCATCAAAGTTCTTCATCAGAGTTCTTCCGCACTAATGGAGAAAGGTACGCTCTTATGTGAAAATCATGAATTCTAAAGATCCTGTATCATGTTCTTGAATGATCATTGTTGAACATGTATTAATGAATTACTGATTAAATTGCTTACATGTGGTATCAGAGCTTGTGTTTAAGAGTTTGTGATTTTCCGTAAACAATTATGCATGATCTCTTGATTCATAAAAAGTTAGGGTTTTTTTTTTTTAGAAAATTGACGATCATCATTGAAAATAAAATAAAAGTCGATCGATATAAATTATTTGGTTTTCGCGATCATCATTTGAATTTTGCGTTCATATTACGGTTTGCATATTGATTTGAAATGCATATTTCAAATACTGCATTTTATGATGTCGTGATCGTGAGTTCTGAAGAAAACAATTTCGGATTGACTTTGTATTTCACAAAAGGACAAAAAAAAACGAATGCATATTCAATATATTCTGAATGGATACTGTACGAAATGCATCGTCCAATTTATATAATGAATATAATATGAAATTGCCATTCTCGGTTTTCACATTCATTGATATTGCTTTTCCAATTCATTGATATTGTAAAAGCATGATAACCTTTATGTCACTGACACGGTTTTCTTATTACAATTCATTGTATTTTATGGATTGATAGCTATATATATAAAGAACTTTCGTGTTACGATTGGATATTGATAGCTATTTTCAAGAGGTATACATAAAAGCCAGAAATCATTTTTTTTTTTTTCAGTGTTAATTGCACTTGAATTTTGGGTATACCCTTACGGTTTTCATATTGATTTAAATGATTATGTGATGTGGTTGGATTAAAATTAAATGTGAAAATGTAATCCTATTATTGTTTATGAAATATTAAAGTTTTGAAATTAATTATGGTAGATTTGTTAGTCACCAAAGTGGCCAAATCTTGAAGAGTTATTTTAATTTCAAATATCATGAATTTTATTTCAATTACCATGACTGTGATGCTATGAAGAGTATGAAATAATTTTCTGGTTGTGGTATATTGAAGTTCATTATTATAGGACAGTTAGGGATCAACCCAAAGGTTGATTATTTGTTTTATAAAATGAACATGGATGTTGGTATTGTTGGCATATTTTCTCACATTTGGACATCCAAAGATGACAAATATTTATGATAGGGGTATGCATCATTGCCAAATTATGTGAAATTTATATAGCATAATTATAGTTAATGTTGTATGTTAATGGATCCCCAAAGGTGAACATTGATATGCATTGAAGTTAGTATATTTGAATCTGTGAATTATGTTAGTATGTGACATGTATGACTCAAAGCATTAATGTTTTTAAATGTTATTCCTCGCAGTACCAGTTGCTACACATTCCATGTTCTCAACTGTTGTAGTTTTTAATGGGCTGAACTTCTCTGAATGGAAAGAGCAAATCAATTTTTACCTTGGGGTAATGGATATGGATTTGGCTCTTAGAGAAGAGGAACCTGGTGCTATTACTCTTGAAAGCACTGAGGATGAAAGGGACCATTTTAAGAACTGGGAAAGATCCAACAGATTAAGTCTGATGTACATGAAAATGAGCATAGCAAGCAACATTAAGTCAGCTCTTCCACAAACTGAAAGTGCTATCGAAATGATGAAACTTGTGGAAGAGCGCTCCCAAACCGCTGATAAGTCTCTTGCTGGGACACTTATGAGTACACTGACCACCATGAAGTTTGATGGTTCGCGTACTATGCATGAGCATGTTATTGAAATGACAAGCATTGCGGCAAAACTGAAAGCATTGGGAATGGATGTGGATGAGAACTTCCTGGTGCAGTTCGTATTGAACTCATTACCGTCTGAGTATGGTCCTTTCCAAATGAACTATAATACCATGAAAGACAAATGGAATGTGCATGAATTGCACAGTATGTTAGTTCAGGAGGAAACCAGAAAGCACTGAGGATGAAAGGGACCATTTTAAGAACTGGGAAAGATCCAATAGATTAAGTCTGATGTACATGAAAATGAGCATAGCAAGCAACATTAAGTCAGCTCTTCCACAAACTGAAAGTGCTATCGAAATGATGAAACTTGTGGAAGAGCGCTCCCAAACCGCTGATAAGTCTCTTGCTGGGACACTTATGAGTACACTGACCACCATGAAGTTTGATGGTTCGCGTAATGCATGAGCATGTTATTGAAATGACAAGCATTGCGGCAAAACTGAAAGCATTGGGAATGGATGTGGATGAGAACTTCCTGGTGCAGTTCGTATTGAACTCATTACCGTCTGAGTATGGTCCTTTCCAAATGAACTATAATACCATGAAAGACAAATGGAATGTGCATGAATTGCACAGTATGTTAGTTCAGGAGGAAACCAGACTTAAGAATCAGGGAGCTCATTCTATCAATTATGTAAAGCATCAAGGAGCTGAAATGAATAAAGGAAAGAAGCATGAGAAGAAAGGAGGAGGAGGAGGACCCCTTAAAGTGAATGAGGCCTCTTCTTCTAAAATCCACAAAAAGGAAAGTAATGCAAAGATGAGGTGCCATTTCTGTAAAAAGGAAGGGCATTTCAAAAGGGATTGCCTGAAACGTAAGGCTTGGTTCGAAAAGAAAGGTAAGCCTAGTGCTTATGTATGTTATGAATCAAACCTGGCTGAAGTTCCTTATAATACTTGGTGGATTGATTCTGGTTGTACTACTCATGTTTCTAATACAATGCAGGGATTTCTTATGACCCAAACCACAAAGCCAAATGAAAAGTTTGTCCTTATGGGCAATAGAGTGAAAGTTCCGGTGGAAGCTGTTGGGACTTACCGTTTAATTCTCGATAGTGGATTTCATTTGGATTTACGTGAAACTCTTTATGTACCTAGTATATCTAGGAATTTAGTTTCAATTTCCAAACTTGATGTTGCTGGATACTCTTTTAAATTTGGTAGTGGTAGTTTCAGTTTGTACAAGCACAATCATTTGATTGGTAATGGTACTTTATGTGATGGATTATATAAATTATGTCTTGATAATCTTTATGCTGAAACACTTATGACTCTGCATCATAATGTTGGTACTAAACGTACCTTAATTAATGAGTGTTCCGCTTACTTGTGGCACAAACGTTTGGGACATATTTCCAAAGAAAGGATGAAAAGATTGGTAAATAATGAAATCCTTCCGGATTTAGACTTTACTGATTTGAATGTTTGTGTGGATTGTATTAAAGGAAAACAAACAAAACACACAAAGAAAGGAGCCACAAGGAGCACTCAGCTTCTTGAAATTATACACACTGATGTATGTGGTCCGTTTGATGTTAATGCCTTCAATAAAGAAAAATATTTTATCACTTTCATTGATGATTATTCACGTTATGGTTATGTCTATTTGTTGCATGATAAGTCTCAAGCTGCAAATGCTTTGGAGATTTATATTAATGAAGTTGAAAGGCAATTAGACAGAAAGGTGAAGATTGTCAGGTCTGATAGGGGTGGTGAATATTATGGAAGGTATGATGAAAGTGGACAACATCCGGGCCCATTTGCTAAATTTCTGGAAAAGCGTGGTATTTGTGCTCAATACACAATGCCCGGTACACCGCAACAGAATGGTGTATCAGAAAGGCGTAATAGGACCTTACTGGATATGGTTAGGAGTATGTTAAGTAATTCTTCTTTACCTGTTTCATTGTGGACTTATGCTCTAAAAACTGCCATGTACGTATTGAATAGGGTTCCTAGTAAGTCAGTTCCAAAGACTCCTTTTGAACTTTGGACTGGAAGGAAACCTAGTATAAGACACCTGCATGTTTGGGGTTGTCAGGCAGAGATTAGATATTATAATCCGCAAGAAAAGAAACTAGATGCAAGGACAATCAGTGGTTATTTCATTGGTTATCCAGAAAAATCGAAAGGGTATAGATTTTACTGTCCTTATCATACTACAAGGATTATTGAATCTGGAAATGCAAGGTTCATTGAGAATGGTGAAGTTAGTGGGAGTGAAACACCACGTAAAGTGGATATTCATGAAGTGAGAGTACAAGTTACATTACCTTGTAGCTCTAGTAAAGTTATTGTTCCTTATGCTATTGAACCAATCAATAATAATGAAGGACAAGTTAATGATCCCACTACTTATGAAGAGATCATTGTTGATGAACCGAATGAACCCATAGTAGAAGAACCACAACAAATAGCATTAAGAAGATCTCAAAGAGAAAGGAGACCTGCTATTTCTAATGATTATGTGGTATATCTACAAGAGTCTGAATTTGACATGGGTATTCAGGATGATCCAGTAACGTTTTCACAAGCCATGAATGGAGAAAATGGTGATAAATGGTTAGATGCCATGAAAGATGAGTTGAAATCTATGGAACAGAATAAGGTCTGGGATCTTGTTGAGTTACCAGAAGGGTGCAAGAGAGTTGGTTGTAAATGGGTCTTTAAGACCAAACGTGACTCTCATGGTAACTTGGAACGTTACAAGGCCAGACTAGTTGCAAAGGGATTCACTCAGAAAGATGGCATTGACTATAAAGAAACTTTTTCACCAGTTTCAAAGAAGGATTCTTAAGAATTATTATGGCATTGGTGGCTCATTATGATCTAGAGTTACACCAAATGGATGTGAAAACCGCCTTTCTAAATGGAAATTTAGATGAAGATGTGTACATGGACCAACCAATGGGGTTCATAGAAAAGGGTAAAGAGCACATGGTGTGCAAACTTAAGAAGTCAATATACGGACTTAAACAAGCTTCACGACAATGGTACCTTAAGTTCAATGATACCGTTGTTTCCTTTGGATTTAAAGAAAACATCGTTGATCGATGTATATATCTGAAGATCAGTGGGAGCAAGTTCATCTTATTGGTTCTGTATGTTGATGATATTTTGCTTGCAACTAACGATCTTGGTCTTTTAACTGAGACTAAGAAGTTTCTCTCTAGTAACTTTGAAATGAAAGATATGGGTGAGGCAGCTTATGTGATAGGAATAGAAATATTCCGTGATAGATCACAAGGACTGTTAGGTTTGTCTCAGAAAGCATATATTAATAAAGTTCTAGAGAGATTCAGAATGGAAAACTGCTCATCATCTCCAGTTCCAATTCAGAAAGGAGATAAGTTTAGTCTCTTACAATGTCCTAAAAGTGAATTGGAACGAAAAGAAATGGAAGCAATTCCGTATGCATCATTAGTTGGGAGCTTAATGTATGCTCAGACTTGTACGAGACCAGATATTAGCTTTGCAGTTGGGATGTTGGGTAGATACCAAAGTAATCCCGGTATGGATCACTGGAAAGCAGCAAAGAAAGTTCTGAGATATTTGCAAGGAACTAAAGGTCACATGCTTACTTATAGAAGGTCTAGCAACCTTGAAGTTATTGGATACACAGATTCGGATTTTGCAGGATGCGTAGACACAAGAAAATCTACATGTGGTTACCTGTATTTTTTAGCTGAAGGAGCTATATCATGGAAAAGTGCAAAGCAGACTATAATAGCTGCGTCCACTATGGAAGCTGAATTTGTGGCATGCTTTGAAGCCACGATTCAGGCTAAATGGCTACGGAACTTTATTTCAGGGCTTGGATTGGTCGACAATATTGCAAAGCCGCTGAAAATTTATTGTGATAATTCCGCAGCTGTCTTCTTTTCTAAAAACGACAAATATTCCAAAGGTGCTAAACATATGGAATTAAAGTACTTTGCCGTTAAAGAAGAGGTTCAGAAACAAAGAGTGTCTATAGAGCATATTAGCACCGATCTTATGATAGCTGATCCCTTGACGAAGGGATTACCGCCCAAGACATTTACTGGTCATGTATGTAGAATGGGCATTATGTCAGCTAATGAATGATAAAAATTATAGTTATATATTAAAGTATTGACACTCTGAGCTCATTGATGAATATATGTTTCTGATATTGTCTTGTTTTTTCAATTTATGTATGCATGCAAGTATATGTGATGATATTGAAAATATTTGTGGTCCGTTATGAAGACATTATTGTTGGACATAATGTGTACTTCCTATTAAAGTATCATGTTAGGAAGAAGAGTCAATATAGTAGTACATGGAAGGGACTATGCCGACTTGATAGCATACAACCGCCATGACTCATGTTGATTTTATTTCTAATAATGAATTATGATGACGTCAATGTATGGAACCTTTAGCCTAGTAAATGCGCATTATAGTGAATTTTAATTAAATCATGAAGGGACACCTTATGACATGAGCCAAGTGGGAGAATGTAAAACTATTTGTGTCTCATGTGTAACGTGTGTCAATCGGTTTAATTAAATAATAAAAGAGGCTTTATGGTAATTGACGTTTCGCATTAATGGTAATTGACGTTTTGACGTTTTGCATTATGGTAACGTTTTACATTAATGGTAATTGACGTTTTGACGTTTCGCATTAATGGGAAGTTACAGGGAGTTATTTGAAACTCCGTAACTGGTGACATGGTTCAGTTATATAAAGAGAAAAATGGTGAGTCTCTGATTATGATAATCTCTTTGAATTCTCTCCTTCATGGTCTGCCCATAAAAGTTGTATCAGATCCCTGTCATAGACGATACAAGGAAAGCAGAGGGTAAAGACTCTGAGAAACAATCTTCCATCATCAAAGTTCTTCATCAGAGTTCTTCCGCACTAATGGAGAAAGGTACGCTCTTATGTGAAAATCATGAATTCTAAAGATCCTGTATCATGTTCTTGAATGATCATTGTTGAACATGTATTAATGAATTACTGATTAAATTGCTTACAGCATAAATAAAATAATCATAAGAATGAAACAATCCGTACTTTCAGGGCTTGCCATGAAGCAGAAGGAGGTAATCCAGTGACCAGAACTGCAAGAAGAACAAAATAGGGTCAACCAAAAACATTCTCTTGTCAGGTACAAATAGAAATAAAAAAGGAAAAAAAGAAATAAGAATGAATTACTACACAAAGATATCACACCTAAAAAAAACTTATATCTAGAAACAATACATACCACGATAGTCAGAACGCCTGGAAACTCCATGGCCACCACTGCTACCACTATAACTACTGTAACGGTCTACTGATGATGAATATCCCCGACCACCATGTGCAAGTTCAACCTACAGTAAAAAATAGCCATCAAAAGGTTATAAGAACATTAGATAGCGTGTTCCATAGAAACCAAAAAGACAAAAGGGAAGAAAAGGAAAGTGTACTAACTCGTAATCGAAAGCCGTCAAAATTGTAACCATCCCGATAGTGAATCGCATCTTCAGCATCACGAGCATCCTCAAACTGCAATATAATGTTCAATATATATAAGACAGAAGAAGGGACCTAGAAAACATGAGACAAATACTCCTTCACGTCCTTACAAAATGAAATCTAAACATACCTCAACAAAAGCATAACCTGGAGGTCTTGGAGGGATCTTCAAATCAATGTCTATGATTGGACCATACTGCAATTAGATGATAAAGAAACAACTGCTGAAATAAAAATCCAGAACTATTCATCTACGACGTTCCTATTTATAGACGCAAGCAACAAAAGAAAAGCAGTGAGAGATTAAATCAGCTGTCTGCCACCAAAAATTTTCCAAATCCTTTCCCACCATTACAATTTGAAATTTAAAATTGAAATCCAAAATTTGAAATCAATTCAGAATTTGAATTTCAAAAGAGTGAACAATTCCAATGTTGAAAGCATTTAAAAGAGCTGAGTAATTCCAATGTACAAATCAGTGGGACATTGAATGAGTTGTCTGCCACCACAAATGGTTAACTTAATTTTCCATTGATTTTGTATTTCAATTTTTAAAAGAAATAATTATTTATTTAATTTAAAGATTTACCTAAGAAGGAAAGTTTTCAGATGCCATGTAGTGTGAACAAAAATCTGAAACTTAAGGAGGAAGTGACACATCAGCAGACTTTCCAACAAATGGGTTTCCTTTATATATATATATAGAAGTTCACCATGATTCTTCCCCATTTTCTTTAATTCATAGTGACAAATGGGGTCCAGCCCGTGTAAAGAATATTTCAGGTGCTTGATGGTTCATTACCTTCATTGATGACCATTCCCGAGTTTGTTGGGTATACCTTCTAAAGGACAAGTCAGATGCTGCATCCATTTTTAAAAAATTTCATGCCATGGTTCATACCCAATTCCAAGCTGCTATACAAATTCTGCGTACAGATAATGGCAAAGACTATTTTAACTCTATTCTTGGAGAATATTTTTCCTAACATGGCATCCTTCACCAAAGCTCGTGTCCTGACACACCCTAACAAAACGAAGTTGCGGAAAGAAAAAATCGACATCTCCTTGAAGTTGCTCGGGCTCTTATGTTCACTATGAGTGTTCCTAAATACCTTTGGGGGGAAGCCGTTCTCATTGCCTCGTATCTGATCAATCGAATGCCATCTCGCATTCTCAAATTTCAGTCTCCTCTTTCTAGTTTTTTCTGCACCTTCCCTTCTTTCTGAGGCGTCTCCTCCCTACCTCTCAAGTTATTTGGTTGTGTTGTATTTTTCCATATTCCCTCTCATCAACGGTCTAAGCTTGATCCTAAGTCTCTCCGGTGTGTCTTTGTTGGTTATTCTCCTACTCAACGTGGCTATTTGTCCATATCTCTCCTTCTGAGACCCAACCTTTCTTTCCCTTGATTTCTCTTCAGGGGGAGTCTATAGGAGCAGATGAAGATCAGTCATGGGAACCTACTGATGCCACAGTATTACCTCTACTATTGGAAATAAGGGGAGCTACAGAATCCTCACCATCCGGAGCCTTCTCAAAGTGGGGACAAGTTTATAGCAAGCGAAAGCCTCCTCAAAGTGTAAATAATCCAGAGCCTCTACATTGCCAGGATTCTGAACCATGTTCTAGTTCCAGCACCCCAACACTTGAGTGCCATGATAAAAATGATCTACACTTGCCTATTGCTCTCAGAAAAGGTACTCGATCTTGTACTACTCATCCTATTTCTAATCATATTTCATATGAAAAGTTGTCCCAAGGGTTCCGTGCTTTCAATACTATGTTGGATAGTACAAAGATACCGAGAAATATACATGAGGCTCTCGATGATCAAAAATGGAGGGATGCTGTCTTTGAAGAAATGAATGCTTTAGAAAGAAATGGAACTTGGGAGATAGTGACCCTACCAAAGGAAAAACAGGCAGTAGGATGCAAATGAGTGTTTACAATAAAATTCAATGCAGATAATAGCATCAACAGATACAAGGCAAGATTGGTTGCAAAGAGGTTCACGCAGACTCATGGGATAGATTATCATGAGACTTTTTCTCCAGTTGCTAAAGTCAATACCATCCGAGTTCTCTTATCACTTGCTGCCAACCTAGATTGGCCTCTGCAACGGTTGGATGTGAAGAATGCATTCCTAAATGGTGACTTACATGAAGAAGTCTATATGGATCGTCCACCTGGTTTTGAAAAGGGAAATGGATCAGAGTGTAAACTAAAAAAGTCTCTATATGGGTTGAAACAGTCTCCTAGAGAATGGTTTGACAAATTCACACAAGTTGTCAAAAGAAGAGGCTTCATTCAAGCACGGACTGATCACACTCTCTTCCACAAACACTCTAAGGATGGTAAAATTGCTATTCTTATTGTGTACGTAGATGACATAGTTCTTACAGGTGACAATATTGAGGAATTGAACTACTTGAAGAAGTATCTAGCAGCTCAGTTTGAATTAAAGGATCTTGGCACTCTCAAATATTTCCTTGGTATGGAAGTTGCTAGGAGCAAAACAGGCATCTCTCTCATACAAAAGAAATATGTTCTAGATCTTTTGGTGGAAACTGGAATGTTAGGGTGTAAGCCTGTTGAGATACCTGTGGAACCTAATACCAAGCTAGGTATTGAAGATGGGAATGAGGTGGATAAAGAACAATATCAGAGATAGATTGGCAAACTAATTTACTTATCTCACGCGCGTCTTGACATTGCCTTTGCGGTGAGTATGATTAGTCAATTCATGCACTCACCCAAGGAGAAGCATCTTAGTGCAGTCTATAGGGTGCTCAGATACCTCAAGAACACTCCAGGAAGAGGATTACTCTTTAAAAAGGGGTATAAAAGGACGTTTGAAATCTACACTGATGCAGATTGGGCAGGCTCATCAGAAGACAGGAGATCTACCTCAGGCTATTTCACCTATGTGTGGGGAAATCTTGTTACTTGGAGAAGCAAAAAGCAAACGGTGGTTGCAAGAAGTAGTGCTGAAGCAGAATTTTGAGCTTTAGCTCATGGAGTTTGTGAAGGAATCTGGTTGAGAAGACTTCTTCAAGAGTTGAAGATTTCATATTCCCTACCAATAAAACTATATTGTGACAACAAGGCAGCTGTCAGCATTGCTCAAAATCATGTGCATCATGATCGAACAAAGCACGTGGAAGTTGATCGCCACTTCATCAAAGAAAAATTAGATGATGGAAGTGTGCGTATGATGTATGTTCCTACCAAAGAGCAAACTGCAAATATCCTTACAAAGGGCCTACACCGTCCAGCATTCAAAGACTTAATTGGCAAGCTGGGAATGATCAACATTTATCTCCCAACTTGGGGGGGAGTGTAGGAAATCAGGATTCAAATATTTTCGTTTTTTATTTCCTATTGATTATGATTGATTGATTATGATTGATTGATTAGGATTGATTGATTGCATAACTTTAAATCAAGAATATAAATCATAAGAAAGGAAAACAGCGTTTAAAAACCCATTGGTTCTGTCTCGCCCTAACTACTTAAAGAAATTTAGCTAAGCATAGTCATAATAACTGAATTAAAATATAAAAAGAAACTATAAAGATTCATAAAAGAAACATAAATCCCAGTCTCCACGGTGAAGCTTTGACCGTTTCTCCGCTCCTCAAGTCCGGAACGGAGCTTTTCTCTTTCCTAAGCCACAACCATCTAGAGCTCTGTTGTCCTCTGTCTTCCGAATGTTTTCCAAAGGCTTCGTTCCGTTCTATTTAAAGACTTGAAATTGGGTCTTTAATTTTGGGCCAGCTCGCTGAGGATTAACTTTGATTAATTCTTTATTTTTCTTGATCCTTATCTTTTGCAACTGATCCCAACTACATTTTCCATCAGATTAGTGATTTGTTACATTGAACCTGAAACAGTATGAAAAGATATCAGAATCTTATCTAGTTGTTAGAATCTTAATATCTTTTGGATTTATTAATTAACACTATATTTTTAATTATATTAATCATTATTTAAGCTAATTTTAATATATTAAATATAGTGTCTATGACACTTATCACAGAACAAAGCAACTTCATTATGTACTAAAAATATATGCATATGTAGTATCATAATCATAGTTGAATATAATTCAAAACCAGAAACTAAAAAAAAACACAGGACACAAAAGGACAATAACCAACCTTGGCAGAGCAGAGAATTGCGTTGTTACAATCTAGACCTACAACCTATAAGAAATCAATGCAACTTAGAAATTTTCTTATTAATACTGTAAGCATGATTCAAGAATTCATAAATAAAGAATTAAGTAACATGCAATGCTCATGCAAGGAAGCCCTAGTTAACACTTTCTCAAATTTCAAACTTCCTGATGTGTAAACTATAACACTCCAACAACTAGTAATTAAACTAGGAATTGTCAGACTTTAGAATGTTGAACAAATAATTAGCACAGGTATGCTTTAGTCAAAGAACAAATAAATTATGGTATCATAAGAGAACAAGTTTCAATTAGGAAGGATCACAATTCTCTTCCCTTATCGCAGAAAAATTAAGAGTATGATGACATCAAGGGTCTAAGTTGACAAACAAACCTCTTCATTCTCCTTGATAACTCGATCTGGTTCTGCACCTGGAAGATCTATTTTATTCAAAACCTGTTACAGAATATCTAGTGTTACTACATAAACACACATATGGTCATATTATTTCATAAATTTAAAACTTGAGAAAAGTGACTATAAAAAACAGACAGATAGAAGAACAAACCATCCACAATTTGAAAAGGGAAAATCTCATGCCACAACTTTGTGGCCATAAAAGAACACAACTGTTTTGTGCCATTGATTTGACACTACAGATAGTCTTACAGACCAATTGCACATAATTATAATTTTTTGTGGGTGTGAAGATGTAGCACTGGCCTTTTTTTTGGAAAAAAAAAATACATTTGAGTTTATTAATTCAAAATTACCATGAATAAAAGATAATAAGTATCTCAGTAAATTATAATTGAAATGAATAAATATTTAAAAGTAGAACATTAGAATGGCATACTTACAGGGATAACTTCTAGGTTGTTCTCCAAAGCCAAATAAACATTAGCTAGTGTTTGTGCCTCAACCCCCTGTGATTTTAAAACAAATTTTTGTGACAAAGCAGAAACCTGACATTACCACAAGAATAACACCCTCACATGACAAAGGCCATAAAACCAGAAAGGAAAGAAGAGGGACAAAAACATAGAAATTTACCTGAGAATCATCTACTACAAGGAGAGCACCCTCCACATCCTTGTGATTTTTTTTAAACACTTACCTCTCTTATGGGTTTTTCCATCTAAATCCATCTCTAACACGGTTAAAAATTAAATTAAATTGCGGATTTTCCCTTTTTTTAAGAAAAATATTGGACTCTATACTCACTTCAAGGTTGATTCCTTAAATTTCCAAACCTTCTTTCTTCTGATTGAAGATTCCTTAAAAAATTCTTGTTAGACAAGTGACATAAAAACTCGAGAAGGTTGGTGAATTGAGTTATATAAATTCTTTTCCAAAAATGCCTCCTTTGATATTTTCAAAATTTATTTCTTCAATCTTTGATTTAAGATAATTAATTCTAAGTGAAGATACAAGTGTGTGATCAATAGATAAGCTAGTGAACAAGCAAACACAATCAAATAAAAAACCAATTAAAAGTTAAAATAAAGAGTTAAGAGTTAGAGAATTTGCAAACAAGATATATCCTGATTCAGTCACCACCACTTGTGACTTACATCCAGGTTGAAGTCGCTCGATCAAATCTTTCACTAAAGGCTAAGCTTCATTCTGCTTGACAAATCTCTACAATCCACCAAGTTTACGAATACTTATTGTTAACTCTCCCATAGAGAGTTAA